GAGCGTTGGCTTGGGGACTGAAGGATTCTGGGTTCGATTCCGGTCAGGGGCATGTACCTTGGTTGCGGGCATATCTTGGTGTGCAAGAAGCAGCTGATCGATGACTCTCTCTCTCATCGATGTTTCTAACTCTACCTCTCTCCCTTCCTCTCTGTACAAAATCAATAAAATATATTTTTAAAAAAAGAATAAACTGTGTTTCCTATACTCATAACTGTAAACCTTCTTTTATCCCACTACATATCTATCTATCTATCTATCTATCTATCTATCTATCTATCTCGGGTCTAGTAATAATTAATGTCGTTTTTAAACATTTGTTTAAAATCTTGCTTGGCATTGACTTGTATTGACATAACCTTCAAACACGTGGTATCTACAGAACGTGTGAAGTGCAATTAACAAGTTTTGCTTGAAAAAGTTTGTGTTTGGTTTGTTTTTTGTTGCAAAACTAGGGCTAAGAAGATGGCGGATGAAGAGCATATTCGGCACTGCATGCTTTACGAGTTCCAATTAGGAAGAAAAGCAAGTGAGGCTGCAAAAAACATCTGTAGTGCTCTTGGTCAAGATGCAGTTAGCGCCAGAAAATGCCAGCGCTGGTTTGAGAAATTTTGCGAGGGAAATTTTTCGTTAGATGACAAGAGTGGTCGAGGCCGTGTGTCCAACTTTGATCAAGAAGCTCTTCAAGCTCTTTTGGTGCAAAATCCTCAAATTACCCAACAAGAGCTTGCGACAACTTTAAATTGTTCACAAAAAACAATTTCCAATCAATTGTGTGCACTTGGCAAAGTCCAAAAGTTTGGAAAATGGGTTCCTCATGAGTTGACAGACAACAACCGTAATCAAAGAGTCACAATTTGCAGTTCGCTCCTCTCTCGTCAAAACCGTTTGCCGTTTTTAGAGCAAATTGTTACCGGAGATGAAAAATGGGTGCTGTATGTTAATGTGAAAAGGCAGCCTCAATGGTTGGACAAAAATGAGGCTCCGCAGCCCACGCCAAAACCTGACTTGCATGCAAAAAAAGTGATGATGTGTGTTTGGTGGAATTTTAAAGGAATTCTTCATTATGAACTTTTACCATCTAACCAAACCATTACAAGTGCAGTGTATAGTGCCCAATTGGAAAGGTTAGCCCAAGCTTTAAGAGAAAAAGAACCCGCGCTGATTAATCGGAAGGGCGTAATTCTTCACCACAATAACGCACAACCGCATACTGCAAGAATCACTGCTGAAAAACTGCGCCAGTTGGAATGGGAAGTTCTCCCTCAACCTGCATATTCTCCTGATATTGCCCCTTCCGATTACCATTTGTTTCGTTCTTTGCAAAACTTTCTTCTTGGAAAAAAATTTAATAATGAAGAATGCCTCAAAAATGCATTGACCGAATTTTTTGCATCAAAATCACAAGAATTTTACAACAGAGGGATTAAAATGCTTCCTGAGCGTTGGGCACAAGTAGTATTGATAGAAAACAACGGCAACTATATTGTTGATTAAATTTTGTTGTATTGTTTAAATAAATTCGATTTTAAAAAGTATTAGAAAACGACATTAATTATTACTAGACCTAATACACACACACACACACACACACACACACACACAACTGACTGACTAGATTTGGAAAAGGGGGAGGGGGAAGAGGTTTAGATGCTGTCATATATTGATTTGAGAAATCCGGAAGAAGGACCAGAGTTAAGGAGGAAAAGGATAACTGATTTATACAGTTAGGGGCTATGAACCACGCAAATGGAGATATTCAACGGTCAGTTGAACACATGGATCTGTGGCTCAGGAAGGAGATCTAGGAGAGATACAGATTTCTAATTACATGGACAGAAAATGAAGCAATGGAAGTGAACTAAAGTGGCCAGAGAGATTACACAGAGAAGAAAAACGAATGTAAACATTTAAGAGAAATGCAAAGAAGTGGAGCCTTCAAAGATTATGACAAGGAGTAACCACCGAGATGGATGAAAATCAAGCAGATAAACTACAGAATCCAAAAGAAACAAAATTTTCAAAAAGTAAATCAAGGTTAATAATATATATTTGTTTATCCCACCTATCTATTCTTTAAGCTTAAATATATATTGTAGTATGTTAAACTTCAATAATCCTCATGGTAGCATGCACATAGTTAACTTTTCAATAAAGCCCTTATTAACTCAATATGTTTATTGACTAGTACACACCAGACACAGACATGCTTAGGATTATCTATACTAATAGAAGGGTAATAAGCTAATTAGACCAGATGTCTTCCGGAAATCCTTCTGGAGAAAGCCATGGTGGTGGGGGCCAAGGCAGAGGTGGTTAGGGGTGATCAGGCCAGCAAGGGAGAGCAGTTAGGGATGATCAGGCAGGCAGGGAGGAGGTAAGCGGTTAGAAAGCCAGCGGTCCCAGATTGCCAGAGGGTGCAGGTGAGGTTGAGTGACCCCCGCCCCCCCCCCACACACATGAATTTTGTGCACTGGACCTCTAGTAAGAATAATAACATAGCATCATTCCTGTACTCACAGATCTAAAATCTGTAAGATTTGATTTTAATAATCCAGAAATAAATTTTTTAACCAAAACAGGTTTTGCTGAAAACCACTAAATTTAAAAATTTTAATGGGTGAATGATATGGTGTGTATGGAATTATACTTTAGAAAAGTTGTTTAAAAAATTAGTGGGACTAAAGGTGGCAACCAGGAAAAGCATTATTTCTGGGGGACAATCTGGTAAGCAGGGAAAGGACAGTGTCTCTTGAAGTGGTAATGAAATGAAAGAAGCTAGAAAATTAAGGATCCCGCAGAAAAAAAAAGAGCAAGACCCGCCAACTCCTTCCCCTTTCCCATTATCACTATCAATATCATCCATCAGTCATTAAAGAAACTGCAAGTCACCATACTGACAAAAGTTGCTCTGGAATTGTAAAAATAGGAAAAAGAAAAAGAAAAAAACTCCAAGTCTATGGGAAACAAAAGGCAAATAAAAACATTTCAGCTGATTTAACAGAAACTAATGTTTAAAAGAAAACTTAGCAGAAAAGTGAGTAAAAGTATTATCAGAAACAACACCAAGACATCCACCAATAAAACTATCAGACTTTAAAGGCAAGAAAAAAATTTCTTCAGAATTTTTCAAAACAAAAAATTAAATTACCTGATAGGAATAAAAAAATTTTAGGCAGTCAGGTTTCTTAAGGTTTCAACTACCAACATACAAAGAAAAACAAGAATGAAGCTGCATTTTCAAGAAACTTAAGGAAAGTGCAAGTCCACAATAAAAAGGAGCAAACGACTGATATATCCAACAACATGAATGCATCTCAAGAGCATTACTCTTAGTGGAAGAAGCCAGCAAAGAATACACACTATACCATTCCAATTATACCAAATTCTATAGAATTCAAAACTCTAGTGGCAGAAGGCCAACCTGTGGTTGCTAGGTATTGGGGGTGAAGAGGTTATCTTCAAAAGGGGAATGAGAGAACTTGGTGAGTGAAAGAAATTTTCTGTATTAAATATCAACAAATGTCTGTAAAGGTCCAAATGGTAAATATTTTAGGCTTTGCAGGCCAGATAGTCTTCACTGCAACTACTCAACTCTGCCACTGTACTGTAAGAACAGCACAGACAACACTAATGAAAGGACATGGCTGTGGTAAAATAATCTTTATTTCGGAAAAAAAGACAGCAGGCCCATTTGGCTTGTGGGTTGTAGTTTGCTGACCCTTTGTCCTATAACCATTAGGGTGGTAGTTGAGACTATATTTGTTCATCACATTTTTAATATTGTAACCTTAAAATTTGGTGAATTTTCCTATAAATTCTACCTCAATAAAGATGATTTTTAAAATAATGTAAGCCAAGGATTTCATACCCAGCCAAGCTGTCCTTCAAATATCAATGTTATAGAAAGAAAAACATTTTGCATGTGCAAGAACTCAGGGAATGCTGTACATACAAGCCTTTCCTAAGAAATATTCTAGAAGATGTATGCCATCTAACCAACAAATAACCGGAGATACAGGAGCAAAGGACACATATGCAATTGTACAGTAAAAACTAAATTAAGGGGAGGAGACATGGGTAAAAAAATAAGTTACATGTTTAGATGAAGTAGAAAGAATGCAATGAAAAACAATGGGAGGCCCTGGCCAGTTTTTCTCAGTGGTTAAAGCACATGTGTCAAACACAAGGCCCTTGGGCCAAATCCGTCCCGCCAGGCCTTGCAATGTGGCCCGCACCTCGCTGTCATCACTGCACTCCGCTGCGTTTCCATCACAATTACAGTTTATGACTGTTCAGTAAACCGTTCGGCCCACGATTTAGGCTGGATTTTAGATTTTGGCCCCTTCTCTGATTGAGTTCGACACCCCTAGGTTAGAGTGTCGGCCTGCAGACCATAAAGTGGTGGATTCAATTTCCAGTTTGGATTGCAGGTTCCCCAGGCCTAGTGGGGATGGGTGTGGGAAGCAACCAATCCTGCCAATGTTTCGTTCTCTTTCTAGAAATCAATGGAAAAAACATCCTCAGGTAAGGATTAAAAAATACAACAGTAACAACAACAATGGAAGGCGAAAAAAGGGCAAAAGTAGAAATAGATCATTGTCATATAGGTAATGGAAGGAATCAATGGAAGGAATCAAAGGTTGGCATTTACTATTGATTGACCAGACGGTAAATAAGAAAAAGGAGGTTAGAGAAATACTATAAAAGGTATAAATACAAACCCTCCAAATAACAGAGTAATTTAAAAAATTTACAAATAATGTAGGCACATCAAATAGAGAAACATTGTAAACAGATAAACATATCTCTTCGTTTTAAAATATTATAAGTTTTGGATAAAGTAACTCAAATAGAAAATATTTCTATACAAATGAGCTTAGGCAAGCTACCTGTAAAGTTACTAAACAAACAAACAAAAAACAAAAAAAAACCCCAGTGAGCTCTGGCTGGTTTGGCTCAGTGGATAGAGAGTTGGTCTGCAGACTGCACAGTCCCAGGTTCGATTCTGGTCAAGAGCACATGCATGGGCTGCAGGCTCGGTCCAACGTGCAGGAGAGAGCCAATCAATGATTCCCCCTCATCATTGATGTTTCTATCTCTCTATCTCTCTCCCTCCCTCTCTGAAATCAATACACACACACACACACACACACACACACACACACACACATATATATATATATATATATATATATATATATATATATATATATAGTATCGTACTGATTGAGTTATAAAACGAAATATGACCCCCCAGTGAAGGGCATGTAGGAGGCAACCAATCAATGGTTTTCTCTCATCATTAATGTTTCTATCTCTCTCTCCCTCTCTGAAATCAATACAAATATAACACACACACACACACACACACACACACACACAAAATAAAAGAAAATAAGTTGTTCAAAATAACAGCAAATAAGTGGTATGGCCATTCAAAATGAGATATTACCTAGGTTCTTACTGACTACTTCACTGTTCTGCTACTGACATATGCAAATAGCCAGTGACTTCTACTAATTCATTTCCCAAAATAATTCTTGAGTGGCTCATTAGCCCTGAATGCAATTCAAATTCCAGAGAGGTGATTCATAGACTTTCCAGGTCATAGAGGCTTTAGAAGCCATCAAGTCTAACCTCATAAATCAATGCCAGGATCTCTACTTGAAGATCTGATGCGATACAGCCTTTCAGACCACTCCAATTATCAGAACATTTTCCTGCATTAAGATGAAATCTCCCTCTTTATAACTCACTTTCATGAACCCTTAAATCACAAAGAATATACTGAATTTTCTATCCAATGTTTTTTACACATGTAAAGACATATCAGGATCACTTCAAGCCTTGTCTTTTTCATGTTAAGTAGCCTCACTCAATAATTCCAATTATCCACAATCCATAAGTTTTTTAAAACCATCATCATATTCACTTATTCATTCTTCGCTAGATGGGTACTTGAAATGTGACATCTAAAATCAAATATATTGCTCCACACATATTCTAAAAAATAGAATAAATTAAATATATTATTTCCCTTAAACTCGTTAATATATTTCTACCAAACTCATGTGAGTTTCCGTGGCTGCTTCCTTAATCTATAGAGGAATATAGAATTTACTAAAAACCCTAAATGGTTTTTAAAAGCATGTCACAAGTCATTTATGGAAAAGTTTGAACACATTATGGCTCAGAATAAACTTCAGTAGGCCATTACCATGTGTTTCCCAAAATTTCACCATAATGTTATTATTTATTTTTGCCCACAATTCCATATTTTGAAAGATGCCTAAACCAAGCTACATTTACTAAGTTATTAAATAATTTCCCCATTTTTGGTAATCTGATATTTACAACTGCCAATGCCCTGAAATATTTCTGGCAAACAGCGAAGTAATTTAACGTTTCACTCTGCATGTATAGCCACTCTGCACGAAATGTGCAATTACTATAAGGCTTTCTGAAATAGTGAACAGCTTTAAAACCATACACACCCAATCTTCCTGCACTCTAGAGACCAAGGACTCTAATTAAATAATAACAATGGCTACTGTTGATCCAAATATGTGATTAATCCAGATGAGTAGTAAGATTCAAAAGGAGAATGCAATTGAATGCAAGCTATAAGCCATATAATCCTATATAATAAAATTCTAATACGCAAATTGACCAAACAGCAGAATGACCAGATGGTCACTATGATGTGCACTGACCACCAGGGGACAGACACTTAATGCAGGAGCTCCACTCAGGCAGAAGTCAGGCTCACGGCTGGTGGTGAGCACAGTGGCAGTGGCCGGAGCCTCTTCCACCTCCGCAGCAGCACTAAGGAGCAAGGGGCCGAGCAGTAAGGAGCAGTCAGTGTGCGAGCGGTAAGGAGTGAGGGGTCTCAGACTGCAAGAGGACGCAGGCCAGGCTGAGGGGACACCTTCCCCCACCCAGTGCATGAATTTCATGCACAAGGCCTCTAGTAAAAAATCCTAAAAAAATTAGAGCCACATTAAGAAGATATCTGTTTCTCTTACTTGAGGGGCGAGGAAGGGTACAGAAGATTAAATCCAAGAAAAGAAAAAAAAAAAACTACACAAGAGTCATTATTTAGATATGAAGAAAATTAAAAATGGCACAATTTCAAGCAACTGAGGAAGTATAAAAAAGGGGGAAAATTTGACTATTCCTCTTCAACAGTTAATGAATCTGTGATATTAGACAATAACAGGGAATATAGCTCAACAAAATGTTAACAGTCATATAAAAAATTATGGTTATTGATTTTCAACACTTAAAAATCAACAAAATACAGAACAAAATGTAAATGTTAACTTTGACCATGTTAAAGCTGCTAATTAGTTGGAAAATGAGATGAGCGATCCCTATTATCCTTTCTACAAAGTAGAAGGGTTAAGAAGCAGTGTCAGTTTATAAATTATGCAACAGGAAACTGAGGTTAAAGTATATTACTCAAAGTTACAAAGGTAACCACAAAAAGAGGACAAAAAAAAATGATGTTAACTATATGAGGAAAGGATAGGCTGATAGGGTAAAAATACTCATCATTTTTAGCAGGCGGTCAGTAAAATTATGTCTAAAGTTGATAAAACAAAGACAGCAGTTTAAGCATATGATTTAGAGACATGAAGATAATTATAAAAACCAAAAACAGTTAAAAATGGTTCACTCTAGACAATGAGTCAGAGGGTGGAAAGGAACACAGCATGTAACCCTTATTATTCATCATAAGCCCTTCTGTATTGTTTTTTAACCATATTACTTAACTAAAAGTCTTTTAATTCTCCTAATCTTATCACAGATAGTTTGTAGTTACATAGATGCAATTTGTATCTATTTCTGAAAATAAAATTGTAATTTATCAATAGCCGAAACCGGTATGCGCACCTGTGTGAGTGTTCTCCTTTTAGCATAATGTAGGTGTGGCAGGGACTCCTTTTCTTTCATAGAACTTTAATTGGGTGCATTATCTACTCATGTGTTGCCTTATAATTAAGTTCTTGCCAAGGGACCATATGCAAGAGTTATGTATACAACTTCCATATCATGCTCTTCAAAGAAATGGGGAATTTCTCCTTTTTCTCCCCACCAGCTGGAACATGGAAATGATAGAGGTAAACCATCCTCAACCTTGCAGTTGAGGGAAAGACTTTAGGAAGTGCAACAAGACAGAAGGCGTGCCGGTCCTCAACACCATGGAACCAGCAGATTAGCCTTGAATTGCTTACAGTTGGATTGTTTCAGGAGACAGAAACTGATTTTGTTTAAGCTACTGTAAGTTTTTACTCATTCTGAGAGGGGGGAGGGAGGAACAGTGTTGGGGGGAGGGGAGAAAAAAATGAAATCGATTTATTGTTCCACTTATTTATGCGTTCATTGGTTGACTTTTGTAAATGCCCTGGTGGGAGATTGAACTCATAACCTTGGCATATTGAGATGATGGTCTAACCAACTGAGCTACTCAGCCAGGGAGAGCTTGTTTTTATTAACCTCTCTTAAATATATATATATACAGTAGTTCAGCCCTGGCTGATGTGGCTCAGTTGGTTGGGCATCATCCCACGTACCAAAGGGTCACCAGTCGATTCTCAGTCAGGGCACACACCTAGGCTGTGGTTTTAATGCTCATTGTTTCACTCTCTCTCTTCTTTCTTCTCTCTCCAAAAATCAATCAAACATATTCTCAGGCGAGGATATTTTTTTTTAAATTAAAATGGGAAAGTATTTTCTGGATTCTAATGAGGCCCCAATTTCTGAAAACAGTCCCTTAGAATTTTATTAGCTGGCTACAGTTGGCCCTTGAATGCACATGATAAGACTAACAGAATATTCTCTTTTCCATAGTTATGCTACTAATAGCTAGCACATGATACTCTAACGAGAATTTTAAATTACAATTTTTAAAAATATATATATTTTATTGATTTTGTACAGAGAGGTAGGGAGAGAGTTAGAAACATCGATGAGAGAGAGTCATTGATTAGCTGCCTCTTGCACACCCCCTACTGGGGATATGCCCGCAACCAAGGTACATGCCCTTGACCGGAATCGAACCTGGGACCTTTCAGTCCTCAAGCCGACGCTCTATCCATTGAGCCAAACCGGTTTCGGCTACATTACAATTTTATTTTCAGAAATAGATACAAATTATCATAATTCTTACATATTCAAATACCTACTAACGGTATCCACTTAAATGTCTTTTAAGTATCTCAAACAGAACATTCCCCCAAATAAACTGCTTTCCTACACTTCCTTGCACTCTCCCACACACACACACATACACACACACACACTCTCTCTCTCTCTCTCCTCTTAAGTGCAGCCCACTTATTTATTATTTCCAACTCAGAAAATGGCTAATCACTCTAAGTTGCCCAGGCCTGAAACCTTGGTGTCATATCCTTGACTCCAATCTCTCTTCCACACCTCAGATCCAAATCTAGCACTTGCTATTTTCTCTGCCTGGAATGCCCAGTTCCCAGCTCTATGTGCATGGCTTGAATTTCTTCCCCTCCACCAAATCTTTGCTCAAATGACACTGTACTGAGGCCTCCTCCCCTACAACTGCAAGTCTCCTTCCCTTTATCACTTATCATCTGACACATATTTTACTTGTCTGCTCCATTAGGAGTAAGCAATGAGAGAAAATGGATGTTTGATTTGTTCACTGCTGCATCCCTAGTGCCTGGCATACAGTAAGACAGTCAAACAGTTGGCTGAATGAGAGAATCTAATACGTTACAGTATATGCACAAAATGACACAATCAGGATGTAAAGGAAATGAAGTAGAAATAACTGACGTGTTAGAGCAAAGGACTGAAATTTTTTAGGTAAAAGAACAGTTGTTAGCATTGTTTTAAGTGGCTAGTACAGCATTTGAAGTCTGTTAGTTATGAGTTAACTTTCCCATCCGAATTTTTCTGGGAGCTGGAAGGCAAGGGCTGCAGAGCTGCAGGGAGAAGGAAGGGTGGGCTGCTCCAGGCTGGTCTTTGCTGAAGCTTTGGGGGCTTATAGGGGAAAACAAGGACTCTGAGGTGTGCTGCTAAGAGCCTCACCTTTGGGGTGTGTGTGTGTCGGGGGAGGGGGGAGGAGTGTTACTGTCTTTCACTCAGAGTTGGG